AGACCCAAATTGTCAGCTTTCCTGCTCCTCTGATGCTGCTTGGCCTGCTGTGTTCATCCAGTTCTACACCTTGTTATTTCTAGCCATTCAATGATTTCTTATTGCTCACCATGTAGTCCACACTTAAACAAGGAAAGTGCTGGTTCATCTTGAACATAATTTGTTATTGAACAGTGAAAGTAAAATCCAAGTAAATGTTTTATTATGCTTTTCACACTTAAAGAAGCAGAAAGTATAGTTACTCTAGTATGCATTGATTGCTTGTTTTGGCAAAGGCATTTGCCACTACCTCCTACTTCCCTTACCTGTATATTCAGGTGGACAGAGGCAAGTGTAGTTATTGATTCCATCAACGCAGGTGGAATTATTCTCACAATCATTGTCCTCACAGTCATCAATATTTATAGTGCACTCTTCACCTTCAAAGCCATCTGCACATGAGCACCTGAGGAAACAATGCAACTGACATTTATACAATGGAAAATGCTAAATGGAGATAAGTGTAAAACACTTCAAGGTTGTTCTAATTCAGAAAGAAGTGCTGCGCATGTTAATGTTTTCTGTGCACTCACTTTACTCCAATAATAAAAGTCTTTGCGGTTAGTGGTCAGACAGTCTGCACTGCAGACTTCACTGAAGGCCTGACTCAATCTTTGATCTGACCTCTTAAGGGGGGTGTCTAACTAACAGGCAGCTAGTCAGTCAGTCTGTGTAACTAAGCTGACTACAGGCATGATAAGGTCTTACAATTTTGTTCATGCTGAGTTAGTTATTCTCAGTCAGAGTAGTGACTAGGGTGATACTGTGCCACAAAGTTTCTATTTCTGTTCTATATTTAAGCCAGGATGCTCTTTGAACATATGCCATAGTTTTGGAACTGGCTACCTCCTTACCAGTGTAATAAATTACATAAAATCATTGCCAGTATATATGTGTATATATATATGCAATATTTATGAAACACTATAAACCCCTGCAAATGAATTGACTGTACAGACTATACCTGTCATATTTCCCCCTATTCTTTTGAGCAGTGGTGCTCACTGAACACCTATTATTCAGGCATAACCAAATAAGAAAACTTTTTCTGAAGAAGGGTCCAGGTCCGAAACGTCAGCTTTCCTGCTCCTGAAATGCTGCTTGGCCTGCTGTGTTCATCCAGCTTTACACCTTGTTATCTCAGATTCTCCAGCATCTGCAGTTCCTACTACCTCCAAGAAAACTATCCTACTGTTTTAGTGGAATTAAATAAATAACACTGTTGTAATTCTCCTAGTAAGCACCATTTGGTATAACAAAAGATAAGGCAAGCCTATTCTTCAGTAGGACAAACCCTTAATTGAAACTACATCTAATGTAAATTTTCACTCTTTCTAGCAGAACAACTCATGAAATAGTTCAGCACATGTAGAATCTGTGATGGAATAACTGCTCAAAAATCAATAACTACATAAAAAATATTCTGTTGCAAAAACTGTAGCTGAAAATCTTTCCACAGGAATAAAAAAAATCATTATTATCCTAATGACGCACACAATTATGAAACTACATGTATACTTAACAATCTTGATGAATGAATTGCTATTCTCATATGAACTATGCTAATAGAGAGCACAGCTTCATAATTTATGAGTATGTAGCTGCACTGCTTTTAAGCTTTTATTTAATGTATTGAAATCTGTAAAGCTCAGTGAATGTTTATCTGGTCTGGTGCAGCAGTTTGGGAATGACTTTCTCATTTTCTGTTCCACTGCAATAACATTCTATTAATTTGCAGCCAACCATAACAGAACGCATTTGCTAAAGAATACTGCAGTCATTTCACTCTTCAATTGTGAATGTGCATCCTGTGCAGAGTCATCAGATAAACAAATGGTTTAAAATCTCTGAAAATTTAATTTGATTAATGTGTGTTTTGCACAAACTAAGGAGAGACCACCATGTGTACTGTGCAGAGATATTCCACTTTGAGGGAAATTGGAACTTAACGGTAGTGCGGTGGGCCTCCACATGGACACAAGGTATATTTTCCAGTCTCAGAGTCTTTCCAATATTTTGAATCGGTTTTCTGGCTTCAATGACCAAGTGAAATAGGGCTGCTAGAGCATCTTCACTTCCAATATAAACTTGAAAACAATATTCAATTCTTTCCCATATTTAATGCCCATACAATTAGTTGGCCTGTGAATATTAAAAATACATCCAAGGCCATGGATTTCTGATGTTTCCATACTATTTTAATAATTCCTACTTCCTTATGGACAGAGATATAGTGAGTGATCCGTCACCTCTGTATGAAAGTGATAGGGCCAATGTAAATTCGATGGCAAGTTATGAAACATTTAACATCTGCTGGAGTTACACAGCTTCCTGCTATACCTCCAGCGGATAATCTACCTCAATGCTGTTACATAATTAACAATTAGTTAATAACTAAAATATTCATCTCAGTGTCCTGTTTTTATAAATGAATCAACATGAATCCACTATTGGCAGATACGCAAGCTTGACCCTTCAATTGATCAATGGCACAATGCAGAGTTTGGTACTGATCAAACAGTAGCAAATTTGTCAGGACAGAATTTACTTTTATATTGTGCAACTACATCCAACTTATTTTCTTTGGTGAAAGGTCTGGAATTTTCTTTTCGAATTAGACCAAGGCTGTAGGAACATTCAAAAACAATAATGTTGAGGTGATTAGTAGATGACTGAATTGTTCTGAAAAATTACCCTCTAATTTTCAGTCTCATTGCACTAATACTTCATTAGTCCCATGTTTTGTTTCACACCTCTTTTGTAGATCAACAAAATAAAGTCATTTTTATGGCTCTTTAATGCAAAGGTAAAATATTTCTTTACTCATCTTTTTATGTTGCATTTAAATTTTACTGCATAGATTATTCTCCTGGTTTTGTTTGTTCAGCAATTTCAAATATATATGTACATATATTCATTCGGTATTATCAGATCAAAGCTTCTAGCTCTTCTGGGACATTAAAACAAAACATGCTATTTCTTTTCTACATCTACGCAAATACATTATTAATTTTTAAAGGTTTGTCTTTTCCTCAGAGAATTACCGGATTCCTCAGTTGATGTAGTTTTAAGAGTCTGTTGTGTAATGCTGATTAATAAATGCTCAATACCAATTAAAATAAAATAAACATAAAGCAAAATACGCAAACCAGAAATGATCCTTTTCTCCCTCTTTAAGATGGCAAGTTCCACTATTTTTGCATGGGCTATTTACACAGGCATGAATGGGAACATCACAGTCTTGTCCCTGTGGAGTAACAGAATACAGAGCGATTTACTTACACAGTCTAGATTCAACAAACCAGAAACAGCAATTCAGCCATCACAAGAGGCAATGGAGACAAGATTCTAACCTAAATGGTCATTACATCAGTGGATATGATAGATCAGAAGCAATAGTCCAACATAAATAATATTCAGAAGAATAGGTATGACAACAATATCATCACACTCAGTGTACTTTAATATTGAGTCAGGCAGTAAGACACTTTTTTTTAAGTCAGTGGGGAACCACTTTATCTTGGACAGCAAAAGTTTAGCTTCTGCATTTAAACTCAAATTGGCCTCTGGCTTAAAGTCACAGTGCAATCAAAGCATTAATAATGATGAGAGTCATTATCCTGACATCATTTTGACAGCTAATTCTGAACTAGTGCAGCAAAATTTCCTGAAGAGCTATCAGGCTGGAAGATACAAGCAGAGGTATAGGCTGGAGAAAGATGACGAGAATGGGAGAGCTGAGGCATTTGATATTGTCTTCAATGACAGGAAATCAATGAAATTTTACAAGGATTAGGTTGATAGGTGATCAAAACATTGTATGGAATTAAACATGGTTGCTGAAGTTTTGGATGGTGGAAATTTGTAAGTTGGAACTAAGGAGTCTTTTGAGCAGTGAGACTTTGGTTTTGGAGAGGATTGAGCAAGGGAGGAGGCTTTGGGCAGGTAATGAAATGGGAATAGAGTTGGCTGCTTCTTTGGTGATGGAACTAAGCAGTCTTGTTTTCCATTCCTTTAACCTCTACCCACCATTCCCCTTGAAAGAACATGCCACTCAAAATTTAAAGAAATTGCAATACTACTATAGAAAGATCATACAACATTCAAAGTGTTGGCAAAAGGAAAATGTCTAAGGATGCATGACTGTTATTTTCTTTTAAAGTAAACCTTAGCAAAAAAAGAATGCTGCTGAGGATCCACAAAGGAGAATTTTGATTACAGTCATCTGTCCATCTGAACGCAATAGGTCACACCACACAACTAACAGCCCCACAGGGTCACATATACTTTGAAGGCTAGACCTGAAATTCAGTTTTACAAATACTGTCAACTGTCACTTTTAGATTTTAAAATAACCGTCAACTCTCACTCTAGCAATATATTACTTCCTATTCTATCTGGAGGATGGATAGCTATCAGCTGCTATCATTTTGTCAGATCAATCTAGCAGGTTCATTCAACCTGGCAGAATAAATGAGATACCAGGGGATGATACCATCTGTATGACAACATAGAACAGTAATTAACTGACGTTCAGAGCTGTCTTCTCAATAATACTCAGGCTTTTCTCTAGCAATGAGCTGCTGAGCAACAAAAATAGTAAACTGCCAAATTTCCATATCTACAAATCATAAACAATACTTTGTTCCTCTGTCAACCACTATGAATGAAAGTTATATTCTTGTGTATATATTGTGTTGTAAATACATGGCACCTAAATTCCAAGGCTGGAATCATGGAGTTTACACCAGGATCATGTCCAGTGTTGCTCACTAGCTGGAAGTTACAGGATTAGTGTAGGATTAGGTGGGTGTAAGCACATGTCTGGAACCTGCTTGCCCTTCAATGCTATAAAGGACGATGGTTGCCCAGGATATTAGGAATTGCAAAGCTCCCACCCTAAACCTTTTCAAATATTGCAGTGTGAGTGAAGAGTTCAAATTCATGGGACACTGGTGCCAGTACTGGGGAAAGAGGAAATGGTTCCAATGGGACAGGCTCCACCTGGATCATGCTGGGACTAGGGTCCTAGCAAATTGCATGACTCGGGCTGTGGATAGGGCTTGAAATTAAATAGTAAGGAAATATTTTTAATTGAACAGAACATTAAAGGGGGTGAGGTCTCAGCAGAGGTAATTAAAGTTTCCAGAACAAATAATTGGACAGACAGTATGGAAAGGGTCAGGAACCTAACTTCAGGCCCAGCAGGTAAAGGAATAATTACAAAAAAAGGAGGGCAGACAAAGCAGAAATGAGGGTGTTGCCACCCTTAAATACAAGCAGTATTCGCAACGAGGTAAACTTGCTTTTTGCACAGATTGGAATTGACAGGTACAATGTAGTGGGTATCACAGAGATGTGGCTGCAAGGCGATGAGGGTTGGAAACAAAATATCAAAATATTTCAAAAGGACAGGCAGATGGGCAGAGAGACCAGGCTTGCCTTGTCAGTAAGGAATAAAATTAAATTGACAGCAAGAAGTGATAAAGAGTCGGAAGTGTGTGTGGGTATAGTTGAGGATCCACAAAGGGAAAAAGGCCCTCCTGGGAGTTGTGTACAGGCGTCCTAGCAGTAGTCAGGATGTGGGGCAGAAAATAAATCTGGAGATAGTGCCTTTCTTATATGCCTTTTCTATGAAAATAATCATGGGGGACATCAATATGCAGGTAGACTGGAAAAATCAGGTTAGTAGCAGATCTCAAGAAAATGAATTAGTGGAATGTCTACAAGATGAATTTTCAAAGCAGCTTGTGGTACAGCCTACTAGGAAACAGGCAATTCTGGATTTGGTGATGTGAACTGAGGCAGATTTGATTTGGGTAATTAAAGTGAAGGAACCCCTAGGGAGCAGTGACCATAATACGATAGAATTCACCCTGCAGTTTGAGAGGGGAAAGCTGGAATCAGACGTAATGGCATTACAATTGAATAAAGGTAACTACAAAGAAATAAGGAAGGAGCTGCCAGAGTTAATCGGAAGTTGGGGTCTGGCAGAAATTCAACGCAAGGAAGAAGAAACATACTAAGGGGAGTACAAGCAACCATGGCTGACAAGAGAAGTCAGGGACAGCATAAAAGTAAAGGAAAAAGCATACAATGTGGTGAAGGTTAGTGGGAAGCCAGAGGATTGGGAAATATTTAAAAATCAGCTAGCTAGTGTTAAAAGAGTATATATATATATAAAATAAGAGAGAGGAAAGAGTAGACACTGGACTGGAAAATGAGGCTGGAGAAGGAGTAATGGGGAACAAAGAAATGGAGGAGGAACTGATTCAATACTTTGCAGCTGTCTTCATGGTGGAAGACACCAGTAGCATACCAGAACTTCAAGAGTCAGGGGGCAGAGGTGGCCTTCACAAAGGAAAAGGCACTGGGAAAGCTGAAAGGTCTGAAGGTGAAAAATCATCCTGATCAGATGGTCTACACCCCAGAGTTCTGAAGGAGATAGCTGAGGAGATTGTGGAGACATTGGCGTTGATCTTAAACTCCTGTTTAAGAAGGGAGGGAGGCAGAAGACAGGAAACTATAGGCTGGTTAGCCTGACTTCGGTCATCGGTCAGAATTTAGAGTCCATTATTAAGGGTGAGATTGCAGAGCACATGGAAGTGCATGGTAAAATAGGGCAAAGTCAGCATGGCTGCATCAAGGGGAGGTCATCCCTGACAAATCTGTTAGAATTCTTTGAGGAACTAATGAACAAGTTAGACAAAGGAGAGCCAGCGGATGTGATCTACTTGAATTTCCAGAAGACCTTTGACAAAGTGCTGCACAGGAGGCTGCTAAATAAGATAAGAGCCTTCGATGTTAGGGACAAGATATTGGCAGAAGGCAAAGAGTAAGGATTGCAGCCAGTCACTCATGTAGGTCTGCAGAGGTCTGTGTTGGTCTAACAACTATTGACATTATCCATTAACGATGTGGACGAAGAAACTGACAGCATTGTTGCGAAGTTTGCAGACAACACAAAGAGAGGTGGAGGGACAGGTAGTGTTGAGGAAGTGGTGAGGCTGCAGAAGGACTTGGACAGGCTGGGAGAGTGAGCAAAGAAGTGACAGGTAAAATACAATGTGTGCAAGTGAAAGAATATGCACCTTGGTAGGAAGAATAGCAGTATTGACTATTCTTTAAATTGGAATGGCTTTCGAAATCTGACACACAACGGGACTTGGGAGCCCTAGTTCAGGATTCTCTTTAAGTTAACATGCAGGTTCAGTTGGCAGTTAGGAAGGCAAATGCAATGTTACCATTCATTTTAAGGGGGATAGAACACATGAGCAGAGGTGTACTGCTGAAGCTGTTTAAGGCTCTGGTCAGACTACATTTGGAATACTGTTAACATTTCTGGGCTCCATATCAAAGGAAAGATATGCTTGTGTTGGACAGGATCCAGAGGAGGTTTCCAAGAATGATCCTGGGGATGAAGGGCTTATCATGTGAGGAGTGGTTGAGGACTCTGGGTCTGTACTCTATGTAGTTTAGAAGGATGAGGAGAAGCTGATTGAAATTTACAGAATACTGAGAGGCCTGCATAGAATGGATGTGGAGAAGACATTTCCATTAGTAGGAGAGACTAAGACCTGAGGGCATGACCTCAGAGTGAAGGAACGACCCTTTAGAACTGAGAAGAGAAAAAATGTCTTCAGCCAGAGTATGGTGAATCTATGAAACTCATTGCTGCAGAGGGCCATGTCATTGAGTGTATTTAAGACAGAGATAGATAGGTTCTTAATAGAATGGGGGATCAATGGTTAAGGGGAGAAGGCAGGAGAATAGAGTTGAGAAATGTATCAGCCATGATCGAAATATGGAGCAGACCCGATTGGCTGAATGGCCTAATTCTGCTACTATACCTTATGCTCTTAAATGATTGTATCAGTTGTCTGTCACAATCATTTCCCTGAAGTTTTCTTTCCTTTGAATGTCTCATTATAATTTTCTGAATGGGTTGGACTTTAACACAAGGCTGATAAATACCTTAGGAAGTGTATTAAAACAAATTGTCAGCTCCCTCCAACAAGGCCTTCAGATTTAGAGAACGCATGCCCTGTCTCGGCTTCCAACCATCAATTGCTTTGAAAAATGTGAAAGGAACTTTGAACTTTTACAAAATATGAAGAAAATTACAGAAATGGTGGAGAGGGGATGGGGGATGGGGGTGTGAATTATCTGCATTCTATGACGCCCATAGTCCCCGGAGCGGTGGTCACCGCTGAGGCAATAAACAATCCTACCACATTGAGAATCCCTGCTGAATGTGGCAGCCCCTTGGAAGTTGGATGACACTTGCTCAAGGCAAGACTCTGCACATGGAGTCTTTTAAAGTGGACACGCTGTTTCAGGGGGTTGCGGTCCGGGTTCACGAGGGCATGGGGCTGACCTGGTTGAGATTTCCCTTCAGCGGGCTTAGATGGGCCCCAAAGTAGGGTCCCCCACTTTGGTGGAATACAGCTGTAAGGAGGGAAACAGATGGGTTTTCTGCACAACTACAGCAAACTTTGTTCTAACTGGCACTTTGTGAACTGGCACCCTTGATAAAGCGGCAAAAAAATAACCTGAGATACTGAAATTTGTTGCATTATCATGACCTCCGAATAGCCAGTTCAGGGGGAGACTGAGAAGGTTTTCTGTCAGTAAGCTTTATTTAAAGCAAAGTTCCATTTTTATTCAAATGATTTATGCTGTAAATAAAGTATAATAGTGATGTGTAAACCTCCTGCATTATGTTTCTATTACTTAGTGTGTGTTTTTACATTGATTGTGTGTCCAGAATATTTGATCAACTGGTACACTCCTGGTCCCATAGGTACCAGTTAATAAAAAGATTACTGTACATCCTTCCAAACCAACGACCAACGCCCCCCCAAATCACCCCCCTCCCCCGCCACAAAGTAATTATTTGATCAATTCATTAAAGAATTCACAGGGTAGGTGGGTAGGATACACAATACCTTTCCTGTAAAATTTCAGACAGCTCTGCCGAAGGCAGGTAGACAGCAGGCAGATTGCTTCCTGGATTTGACAAGCTCCTTTCACCTTCAAACCCACTGACAGCAGAACATAAACTCAAGCCTTTGGTGCAACTGGATGTTTGCTGTTTCGCAGTGGTCTGCCAACAAAGTTTGTCTGGAAGAAGTTTTATTTTCTATAGCTTATTTTCGTGTAAATCATGATGCTGTTGCCTTTACTTGTCTTTCCAGTAAAAACTGAAAGAAACTGCAGATGCTGTAAATCAGAAATTGCTGGAAAAGCTCAACAGGTCTGGCAGCATCTATGGAGAGAAATCAGAGTTAACAGAATAGGGAAGGGTCACTTGACCCTCAATGTTAAGTCTGATTTCTCTCCAAAGATGCTGCCAGACGTGCTGAGCTTTTCCAGCAATTTCTGAGATACCACAGTATGGAGCTGGAGGCACACAGCAGGCCTGGCAGCATCAGAAGAGCAGGAAAGTTGATGTTTCGAGTCGAGACCTTTCCTCAGCTCCACACTGTTGTATCTCTGACTCCAGCATCTACAGTCCTTGCTTTCTCTGATCCAGCAATTTCTGTTTTTGTTTCTTTGCAATGTACTTTACTCATCCCAATTCAACAATATAAACTTTTCACCCAAAACAATATCCTTACTTTGTTACAAAATCACACAATGCTCAGCATCTCGCAATACCGCTTGCCCATTGGGAAATGTGGGTCAGCAGTGTGTGGTGTTCCATCCGTTAAAACCAATTTCCATTGGAGAAAAGAAGAAACCAATCCTTGTCTTTAACATTTTAAAAGGCATGATTAATGTAAATATAGGTACTTAAATCACGTAATCCCAGGACTAATGGCAAGTCTAAAATTAACATGCCTGTGATAAGATGTTTGATCACAAAGAATTATTTGCCCCTATTGAGTCATAGATGAGCTTCAAGTAGAAACAGCTGGATAAATATTGAACAAAGAAGGTTATTAAAGGTTCAATACTCTACGGAATATTATTGTTTCATAACTGGTGGCCAAGAGAATATAATTTGTAGAATCAGAGCTGAGTAATAAAATTTTGATCCAATATTTGGAATTTTTCGCTCAACTATCTTCAGGGAAAGATATCAAGAATTTTTCTTCTTGAAATTTTTAAAAGGTTAGGTAGATTAGAGATGTGAGTTTACAACAGATCAAATGGTCTGCGGTATGTTCAGAAAAGTGGACTTGATGGACGAAATGATTTCCTTTCCTCACTGAAAGGCATGAGAAAGAAGTCATTGCTTGGCCTAAGACATGAATGCACATGAGTGATGTTTCAGAAGTATAGACATTAATTAATCGTCATCTAGTATTTTAAACATTGCACACAAGATGATGAGTAGCATTCTGAGCCTGAATGTTGTATATGTAGCATTGTGTGTTTTCACATTAAATCACTCACAGTGACAATAACCCACTTTTGATAATTGGTTGAGAAATATAGTTATGAATGCTGCAATTGTCATTGTTCTGCGTAAGACATGAACATACCTTGAATCCATATGGGCAGGTGCACCGATAAAAATCCACTGGGTCATTGTTGCAGGTGCCATCATTTTTACATGGATTGGAAAGACAAGGGTTACACTTGGCTAGAATGTTGATGTCAATGGGACCTTGAAAAATAACATGTAACTCATGTTGGTTAAGCAAGTCTTACCTGGATGGTAAATACAAAAAAGTGAGAATTTTTCCTTTGTAGAAGTCCGAAGGTTTTTATATTTTCTGTTTGACCACTTCTCCTTATCATTTGTCCACCTCACAGTGCCTTTGCCAAAAAGCTTATTGCAGAATCACGAAAAATAATAGTAATGTTCATGACCCCTAATGATCTGAAATCCCTGAATGTCTTATGAATAATATTAGGCAGAAATAAATGACTGCAATTAAATAAGTGAAACATAGACTTCAATTCAGTTATCAGTATGGTACTGAAGATCAGGATTCCAGTCCTAAACTAACTAAATGAAAATGAACCTTACTTAATGGCATTTTAACAAAACTTTTCTTATATATCACGCAGGTTTTCTGCAGAAAACATTTTTGTTTAAATGTCAAGGGAGCATATGAACATAAACAGCATTGACAAAGAGATAACACCATACTACTGTAAAACTTTTGGTTGCAACAGCATTTTATATTTGATGTGATATTATTATCAACAATATACTTTTAAAATTCACAATAAAGACAATTCAACATTCAAAGAAGACAAACGTTCAATCCACACTTATTTTTCAATTTAGGTTTGAACTCATGCACTATATATTTAAGATCAAAAGTGAGACCGACAATGCATAAACTGTATATCCACATTAAATGGATATCGGTTATCTAAAGAAAACAAGTCCATCTGAGGGATTAGGTACTTTCTTGGGAGCACATTTAAGGAGAGGCAGAAGGTCTGTTTGCAACATCATCCATTATTTCCAGGGGTGGGTCAACAGTCTTACCTTGCACCAGAAAACCGCAAGGCCCTGGAATCTCTTTTGGCAGGGCACAGGATATCAAAGGTCACAAGTGAAAAATTAAAAAATGTTAGATTGAATGCAACCAAAGAAAGTCAAAGGTCAATTAAAAGTTATATAAAAGCTTCATTGGCAAGTTTAAATCCTTATTATAAATGAAACCACTCAACCACAGCTAAATAGGTATTAGTCAATCAATACAGGAAGTCAATCTTATGGATAAGCCATGGTTTCGAGATCTGATTTAATCCCTCTTCACTCCTATACAAAGAGATTTTTGATGTGCACCAAATCCCATAGTCAAACTGGTGGCATTACCTTGGCATTCAAATTTCTTAGAAGGAGTGGTGAGCAGGAGTTTATCTGTCATGTCACCAGGTCCAGCACAGCGTGCTATGCCTGGCTCTTTGTAGCCTGACTTTACCCAATCAGATAACCACTGCATGTTGCAGTCACAATATAAAGGGTTCGCACCAAGGGCCCTGCAAAGAAAAGGAAGCTGCTTAATTACTTTTCCATACACCAGAACATTGGTCCAGAGTTTGTGACTGTAATGTCAGTGAAATTGCCAGCATTTACCATAAATTTTCTTCTGAGACTGACAGCACATACTGAAGTCCTAATCATGCAGAGTTCACAGTGAAAATCTAAAATATACTGTCTTGTTGTTTCTCTAGAGAGTGAGCTGTTGATGTCCCTCAGAATGTAATCAATTAGAAATCAGTGAACTGGCAAGGACATGCCCTGTTACACTCAGACTTACAGCAAATACCTCTGAAGAAGTTGCATCTTTTTGAATGTGATGTAACTGGGTTTATAAATGGTATATTAAGCCTAAGATTACCGCTGAACAGTTCTACTGCCCCAAGATGGTAATTTTACCCTTGGTGAATATTAAATATCACTATTATTATAACTTCCTCAGCGTTCAGTGCTTCTTAACGTCTTAGCTTGCTGACTGTAAGAATAAGGTCAGAGACGAATACCATTGCTTTACAGCTGATGGGAAATCCGGCCATTAATGTAAAAGATTCCAAAGTGAAAAAAAAATGAGGCTATTTGTCCATCAAACTCATCCTTCCAAAGAAACAGTGGCCTCTTCATTGCATCCAAATAATGATGAAAGATTTCCAATGCTATGATCTCTGGAATTAATTATTCATATTGTGCAGAAGTGGCACCTGGTATTAATCTTAAACTTGTCTTTTAATAATGTTTACCTATACTAATTTGTTGCATAATAAACCTGCTTGGACTTGCACATTATAAGTGCACGAAGCGATCCACATATTTTAAAGAGTGGATAATATGGGTGGATAGTTTGCCTCAATATCTTTGGCAGTGCAATTTTTTCTGAGTGACCAGTTGTGGTATTCTCTTTCAAGTTGTTATTGCAAAGTTCTTGGTGGTAGGCAGGGATTTCACAGGCACAGCAACTGCTTGTGCAGCGAGTGCACATTGGTGGCAAACACAGCCATTATCCTTAGAGAACATAAGAATTTAAGAAATAGGAGCAGCAGGAGAAGATCATATAACCCCTCCAGCCCACTCTGCCATTCAATACAATCATGACTGATCTTCTGCCTTAACTTCCTCACACACTCTCCACATCCTCTGAATATCTGTCTATCTCGGGCTTTAATACATTCAATGAGGGAAAATTCAGAGATCCGTGGCATTGTATTCCAAAGAGTCAATCCTTCGAGTGAAGAAATATCTAGACATCTCAGTCTTAAATGAACAGTCCCTCATCCAGAGACTGTTTCCCTGCATTCTACCTCTCAATTTTACCCTGTTAAGAATGAAATTAATGTACTAAAAATTGAGCTGGGTACAGAACAGGCTGCTGGATTCATTATCACCCATTTAATGCTATCGTTAAAGACCAAGTTCACTTTTATTTTGTTCTCAATGAAGAAATAACAAACAGCCCCAGAAACTGTGTCCATCGTCTACATGATGCAACTCAGGAGTGTGATGGATTACTCTCCACTTGCTGGTTAGTGCAGCTCCAACAACACTGAAGAAACAAGCCACCATTCAGGACCAAGCTATCTGCTTGACTGGCACCACAACCACCTTCAACGTTCACACCACCAACAGCACAAAATGAAATTGTTGAGTACAGGCGTTGGAAGGTCATGTTGCAGCTGTGCAGGACATTGGTTCAGCCACTTTTGGAATATTACACTCAATTCTGGTCTCCCTGATTTGGAGAGATGTTGTGAAACTTGAAAGGGCTCAGAAAACATTTACGAAGACATTGCTGGGACTGAAGGGTTTGAGCTGTAGGCAGAGGCAGGATAGGGTGGGGCTCTGGACTGCTAGAGGCTGAGGGGTGTCCTTACAGAGGTTTATAAAGTCATGAGGGGCATGGTTAGGGTGAATAGCCAAGGTCTTTTTCCCAGGCATAGCAGAGTCCAAAACTAGAGGGCATTGGTTTAAGGTGAGAGGGGAAAGATTTAAAAGAGACCTAAGGGGCAACTTTTCCATACAGAGGCTGGTGTGTACATGGAATGAGCTGCCAGTGGAAGTGATGGAGACTGGTACAGTACAATTATAACATTTAAAAGGCACCTGGACAGCTATATGAATAGGAAGGACTTAAAGGGATATGGGCAAATACTGGCAAATGTGACTGGATTAATTTAGGACATTTGGTCGGCATGGACGAGATGGAACAAGGGGTTTGTTTCCGTGGTGTACATCTCAATGACTCTGCAAGATGCACAGTCACTCACCAAGGCTCCTTCAGCAACACCTTCCAAACGTGTGACCTCTACCACCTAGATGGACAAGGGCAGCAGATACATGGAAACACCACCACCTGCTAGTTCCCCTCCAAGCCACTCACCATCCTGACTTGAGTCATATTGCTGTTCCTTCGCTGTTACTGTATCAAAATCCCTTCCCAACAGTACAGTGCTTCTATACCCAAAAGACTGAAGTATTTCACAAAGGCAGCTCACTGTCACTTTCTGCAGGGCATTTAGACATGGGCAATAAATGCTGGGCTAGTCGGCCAGCAGTGTCCATATCCCATGAACAAATAAAAAAAAATTCAAATTAACTAACAGCAAAATGTTATTTCAGTATCTTGGTTCAGGAATATAGATCTTAACATTACAACTTTCTGTGCCAAAAGAAATAACACATTAACTTATAAAGCTGTCAGAACCATTTCTTTCTTCCTGAGGAAAAACACTCATCTATCAGCTTGTTCCTACTGCTTAAGGCAATGGTTCTGAAGCGGTTAATGTTCATGTTATATTGGGTCCACCCAATGGAGTGGAGTTCCAGCTTTCTGAGGGATCAGATGTATCCCTTACTAGATCCTGAGCTGCTGGTAACAATGCCTGACCAAATGTAGTTGCACTTATTGCTGTTATGTTTTTGTTGTCTCAGAATGGTGTCTCTTATCTACATGCAGTACGCTACAGTGGTGTTTCTTCTACCATTAATCATTACATAGGCTCAAGACAAAGGAGGATTGGTGGCAGTGAACTACATCAAATGACCCTTACCCAGTGCCACATTCTGGTTGGCAAATACCACAAGGTACAAGTAATCGCCATCTAGGAAAATACCACAGTTCCCTGCTTAGAGTTTCACCATTTTTGTGTAGTAAGGGATTCTACCCAGTGGGAGACATTATCCTTGAAACAGAAGGATGTTCTATCTGCTTCAGCTTCAGAACAGAAAAGAAAAATGTGTTCCTCTTATCCAAGAATAATTCGATTTATAACTGGATCTTATTTATGTTTTGACTTACAAATGTGACAGTGATGAAAGGTCATTAAAAGCTCCTTCAGGAATAGATGAGATGTCATTTCCATGCAAAGACCTGGAAAATAGTTTATAATAAACAATGAAGACAATCTACCAGAGCCCTGAATGAATTCCATTCTGCTTTACAAACAACAATTGTACATGTTTCCACCTTAGTTTGATTTACAGGTTAGAGTGCCAACCCATATTTAATACTGGTGTTTGTTTTGTTTGGAGTGTGGGAGACCACACCTTACATAATGGTTCCCATTTCTCATATTTAACACTGGTGTTTGTTTAGTTTGGAGTGTGGGATACCACACCTTATATAATGGTTCCCATGTATACACGACTAACTTCTATTTCATACTGTTCACAGAATCATTCGGTTTATTTAAACCTATTTTGCAGTGCGAAAATCTCATACCACTGAATATAACCTAGGTTTTACAACTTGTCGAATATTACACGTTGAGTAAAGCTATGCAAGACCAGCAAAGTGCTGTATCTCAACAGTTTCCAAAGTACATATTAGGTCAAAATTGCACCACTGTCCCACTTTTTGCATAACTGCGACTCAGACATTGGGGAAAGGGAGTATAAATTCAGAGGGCCTGCACATCGTTTTCATGTTGTAAATGAAAGAAAAAGCACTGGAAAAGTGCTTTAACATATAGCGCATTTCTCATTGTCAATTCAATCCCAAATGCTGAAAAATACAAAATTTCATGTCACTCATTTTTAACCACATCTGCATGAGTACAAATGAAAAGTAAATAGAATTTTCTCAGATTTTCGCCATGAGCTTTGACATTATCAAATCCACAGACACCAAATCCAATTTTCAAAACCATTAATCCAAAGGCAAGTATTGTAGATGACGGCAGTAGCTGTGGAGAGAGAAACCAAGTCAATGCATAGGAATCCTCCATTTTCTTCAAGTGTCTCCCTCACAGGCTTGTGAGGTGGCCAGACTCCTATGCTGACATTTCGGAGAATGGCCCACTGTATCTTCTTCCAATCAGGCAGCATACAGGATAGTAGTCTCTTCTGAAATTGAGGACCTGAAGGCAGAAGTTTTGCCCACTGAGAACTGTACCCAATCAGAGACTTGTATCTTTCCCACTCGGGATTGCCACACGGGGGACTATGGGTACTTTTGAAGGACTACTAAGATCATAGGGACCAGGGGTGTAAGGAGAATGTTTTTTCCCCCAGTTTGAAGGGGGTGAGGGTAACTTAATTCCAGTAATGCCAACATCTTGTCTAATTAAGCAGCCCTCCCCCCAACTCCAGGTCAGCCCCTTTCAGAGGCACAAAATTCTGATTCATTAACTTTGTTTCTTTTTCTCAGAGGCTGCCAGAGCTGTTGAGAATTTCTGCAAGTCCTGGCTTTATTTCAAATTCAACATGCTGATCTACTTTGCTCATGGATTTTCCAGTTTCTCCTAAAACTCTGTGCACATATTAATTGGTGTAAACTGACCAGCCAGGCAGGAAATCCTCAGGATCAGGTGGAACATTGATTTTATGCTCTACACAATATTACTTTATGCAGCAAGGTCTGTTTGTTCCTAAATATGCCCCCAGCTCCTATCACTTATGATCAGCTACGGCCTACTCATGCGGGTGGTCTTACAGTGAAATTTTATACATAATTCCACTTGAAAGCCAGGCAGAGAGGAAGCTGCCTTTATATATTGGTGCTGTGCAGCACTGATGTCAATGACCTTACTGTACTGACTTGTTGTAGCTGTTATTATGTAAAATTTCATGAGAGCTGTTAACTACTCTGCTGCTATAGCTTTACTGGATTTGCAAACATCATATAGGCATTTGTAGAAAGTTGTGACAGCAAAGTGGGATTAGCCCCAAGGAGATTTCTGACTTGAGTCTTCTCAGCAATCAGTCATGGCATGGGATACGGAGCTGGCAACATTAGCATGGTACAGACCAAATAAAAAAGGTGGCTGAACTTACAGTGTTAATGGTTCAAGGAAGGGGCTAGAAAACTTCAAATCTTCACTTAGGCTTAACGTAGGTGCTGGTGGAAGATAAGGTTTCATCATTTAAACTAACCAGGAATATAAGCTCAATCATTTATTCTTGTACTTACAATAAACGGAGGGATTTCAACCCATCGAATGTTCGAACTGGAATACACCTCAGCCGGTTATAACTAAGAATTCTGTGAAATTAAAAATGTCATCTTAGATAATGTATCAGTGTTTATAAATAGAAGCAGACAAAATAAAAATGCCAGAGGTGTCAAGTATTCTTCTATTGTGAATGCCTGCAATGGAGTTTGACATAGCCAGTTTAATCAGTATTTCTACAATCAACATGGGAATCCTGGTTTAGTGTCAAATAAATATTATACTTACAAGGTCAGAAGCTCTGTCATGTTGCTGAAGCTCTGGTTGTACAGTGTACTGATTCTGTTGTTACTTAAATCACTGGAAGGCACAGTGAGTATAATTAGAACAAATGGTAGGAAAGGTCATACACCGATTACACAAGCACATGGGAAAAGGAGCTTATAACGGCATGGTCAGCACCTGATGCACTGTAGCTTCAGATATTGCCTGATGTGAAAAAGTAAGTCCTACAAAATATTTAAGGCATGTTATGCATTGCAGCATGGCCAACTGGGGTTTGGAACTTGAGGTGCAAATACAAATTCCACACATAGTTCTTTATTACAATCCATTGTATTAATTAGAGGGCATTCCCAGAATGTAAACATAATACCCGGGCTATGCTCATGTGTCTCCTTATTCTTCATAAAATTGTGTTATACAACCATTGGAATTTGCAGATTCAGAAGTTAAGTTAAAGTTTGTTCATGAAATTATAACTGGTGCCCCTTTAAACAAAAACTTCCAGATGACCTGGAACATTCCTGATACTTATTCTATTTGGGGGACCTGATTGCATACGGGGCAAATCACAGACTCACATTACTCTGTTTCCATATTATTATTATTCAGTGCAACTTTAAGATTAAGCTCATGCAAGAGATGTATTAATTTCCAAGCACTGATCACCAGTTTCACTCTAGCAACACCAGATGCTGAAAATCACTTGGCCGCATAAATTTATACTTTTCAGATTTACATTATATAAGCTGCATAGAACCAGGTTATCCTGGGAGCTCTTCTGATAGCTCAGTAGGATTCACAACCTAGACAGAACCAAAATGTGGCTGACTGGACTCCTTGTCTCTATCTGTTTATAGCTAACACGAGGTATTATTGAAAACATAGTTTGCTAAGGGAAAAACATCACTCAAAAGTCTCATTCCTGATTGTGACCTAGTGAGCTCTGCAACTGGGGCTGCCTTGGATGACTACAGTCTGCTTCACCTCCTTGTTTAAATGGCACTGTGACGTTCACTGTACAGACTCCCACATGAAGATGGTTAATAGGCAGGTGAAAGGGGTCCCTTTCCCTGGGGTGCCCTGTTCATGATCCAGCATGCATGGTCAGTTATGATACAGGCACACCCCACCCTGCTTCATCAGCAACAGTGCAAAGGGTGGCACTTGCTGTGGGCACCAACCCAGCTTACCACCACTCTATACCCCACCACTAGACACACACAGGAATTCTGGGGCAACATACAAGGAGCCTAGAACCACGAAAGCATTCATAAGATTCAAAACTTGCACTTCACATAATTTGCCCTTTGGGATACTCAGCACTGTCTGCTACAGTCTGCATTCCATGGTCTTTAAGGTCCTCAGCAATGAACATGTACAACTTACAGTCAACAGTTAAATCCACTTTCCAACAATACAATTGGATTACACCACATTAAAATCTAGTTTTTGATTCTGAAATAACACTCTTTTTAGTGGCCCACATCATCTACCAAATGCGAGAGAGCAACATTTTGAAGGGATTGATATGGGAGATAGAGAGGAACTTTTTGGCTATTAATGAGTAATTTAAGATAACAGCAAGAGCCAGGCTATCCAGCAGGAAAGTTAGAAAGCACTTTGTCATGCAGCAAGATAGACTTTGCCAAGCAAGAATATAAAGCAGCATAGAGCCAAGGGAAGTGAATGGAATTACAGTATAAGTCAACCTTGATCTCACCGAACAGCTCAAGGGCTTGAATGGCCTATTCCTGATGCTAAACGCTTTCATATATCAGTATCTAAGAAGTGCAATAATAGAAGTACCTACATAAGTAATAAATGCTTGAAAGTGGTGAGTTCCTTGGGTACCATCACAAACTGATTTCCATCCAAATACCTGGAACACAGAATATTACATGGGATATGACATATAACAGTACTGATCACTAGTTTGCGTTCATCCTGATTTCTTCCAACTTTAAATGAAATACACCAATTAAGAGAATAGACAAAATACTTCCAGTAGTGACTAACCAATTAAAGAGCCAAGGGCCACAGTGTAGCAAAACACCAATAGCCGGAGAAACAGTAAAATGCTAAATAAATAGTAAGGGTTAGATGACAAAGCAAGCTTGGTGGATGTTAGGGGTATGTGAAACTGAGGACAGAATTCCAGTTTTGATGTCCAGATAAAGAATGAGTTTGACTTGGAGATGAGAATATCCTTTCTCCTGTTTCCTCTGCAGCAGGACTGAGCTGCCAGATTTGGGAACTTATGACTGGAGTCCAGACACAGCAGTCAGAATCCATTCTGATCCATAGATTGATTGCAGTAAATTGTAAAGATTAACTTCCTTTCTTTCTCACTTTCTTTTGCATTATTTCTTGGCTTCTAGGTTCATCAATTTGGAGGTGAGGTTAAAAAAAATGGCAGGTATTCACCTAATGCCAACATTTGCTGACATCCCTTAACCTCACTTCACGTTGTTAACAACTAAGCGTTTGTTCTGAGTAGATCAGAGTATCATGAATCAATATATTAAGTAGCATCCCTATATGTTCTGTCAAATACCTTCTCCAAGTAGATATTAAAAATCTGCATAATTTACTATATGTCTAGCAAGATCCACAGACAGATGATATGAACATTTTGTAGTCTGCTGTTTCTGTCCCCAGTACGAAGGAAGATTTTTATTTAGTTATTTTAGGTTCTAATCCCTGATGCCCTTGGGAAACTGTTAACTGTTATTATTGGTATAAAATATTCATTATTTGTTGCTTATAGAAAGTTGTTCACAGCTATTGCCAAGTTAAAAATTAATACTGTGTCTTTGTGAAGTGGTAACTTATTGTTTTAAATATTAATTGCAATGTGCAACTGTTCTTAGACATTTTATGTACGGACTGGAGGTTGGGAAAGACTGAGATCTGCCATTGTTTGCCCTAAATCCTATTCATGTAGTTTTCCCCAGTCTGTGAATAATTATTTCAAAATGGCCCAGTAATTAATCCAAACCTTCTGATTTTTGAAAACAAAATTCATCTCATGACAAAAGAACCATCAGTAATGGAATGTAAGTGTCGGCAGTTTTAAACTGCAAAGACTGCATCACTATTGATGACTCAGCGAGTTGTTAAAACTTTGACGGTGGTTTGGAAACAGTAATGACCACAGTACACACCTTCCTGGATAAAACAATCATTCCTAAACCATATCATCATCTGTGATTCCCAGTTTCTACAGCGGTGAAGCCTGGGTATTGAATTAGAGACATTGGTGCTGGGTCATACAGTAAGTGTAGCACTAACAGAACTGTTTGACTGGCTGGAAGGGGAGAAAAATCTACACAGCACAGATGTATCCCACAGCTGAGCAAAGTGGTAGGTGTTGATGGTGTGTCAGAGACTAGTGTGGGTGTGTTGAAGATAATGTTGGGGCTGTACTAGTGGTGATTGTGATAGTGGGTTAAAGGCAGTGGTGATGGCATGTTAGAGGCAGTGGTGATGGCGTGTTAGAGGCAGTGGTAATGGTGTGTTAAAGGCAGTGGTGATGGCGTGTTAGAGGCAGTGGTGATGG